TCAGTTGCATAACTATAATTTTAAGATTTAATATTGATAAGTATGTAAAATTCCATATGAAAAATCCTATGTTAGTCAATGGTCACGTTCATTGTACTTGTTCTCTAACAAGCACCCATACACCTGTTTTAGTGTCCCCACAATAGTGACTTGGACGTGTCACCTCATATCAAATACGAGTAAACATAGTATATGTTAGTCTATCCGGATTACATAATGCCCACATAGTAATCCAATAACTAGGAACATTTAAAAGTTAAGTATTAAAAAGTATAGGTCTCTTATTCTCAAATCCTTGAGAAACTATGTTCTTTACTTATACTCTATGGACTATATCATATATATTAAAATGAAATAAACCAGAAACATGATAAATAAACTTGCCTTTTTATTTAATTATGTAATGAATGTTGCTGGGACAATCCCAAAACATCATCTATACAATTGGTGTTAGAGCATACTACTAACATTTTGGACCGTGGATCTTGCACAACACAGCCAGAAGGAGAGAACCAAACCAAAATTCTAGAATCAAACAATTGATTAATTGAAATTAAATTTAAGGTGAGCTAAGGAATATAATACACATCAGGAAGTGTGAGTTGGGTAGAAATAGCTGTCACAACACCATCCAAAGACATTTGAGTGCCATTTTTTTAAAGTGCTAATACTTATGGAGGCGAGACTATAGAGGCAAATAAAGAGAAATCATTAGAGTGAATGACGTAGGCAGTTTGATATATACTTGAAGGACTTGAAGTGAACGAACTTACTGTAGAAAAAACTGTGAGAGCACTAGGCTAATTGAGAGAAAGAAGCTTTGCAACTAATCAACAATCATAGTCAGACTGGGAGCTAATGGTGATGACTTATCCACTGGTAGTATACAACGGCTGTGTGACGATTTGTAGGCCCAAATGGCTGATTTAGGGATCCCTTAACATTCTTATTCACCAATTTCGGGCACTGGGCCTTATAGTGGTTCTGCTCATGACAAAAGCTACAATAATCGGCTTGACCTCGATACTTGTTTTGTAAATTAGAATGCGCCTTTGGGGGTACGACCAGTACAGTTTGATTAGGTAGTCAAAGAAGCCCCTTTCCAGAAAGAGTCTTAAGACGGACCTAATAGATGGTAGTTGATGATGATGAAGAATAGAGTCATGAAGCCCCCTCAAAATCATCTCTGAGTGCCATCAATAATTTTATCAATTGCTACTTCTCTCTAAAGGAGCGGTATGCTGTATTAGTGCTCAGTTCAACAGGGTCGGTGATTGCCAACTGATCCTAATATCCAGTTATAATTGAGCAAAATTCCTGTTTGTTCCTATGACCTTGATGTGTAGCTCTAATTTTATGTTCAAGTTGATATCTTCTTGCAAAATTGGACTGAACAAATAAATTAGCTAAATAGTCTCAAATTTCTTTGGCAGTAGTAAACTTTAACCAAATGAACACCAATAGTCTGATCAACATAATTCTTAATCCAGGCAATAATCTTGTCATTGTTGATGTCCCACTGGTTCTTCATATTAGCATACGTTTCTGCCATAGCATTTGTAGTAGCTGTCACAACACTATGAACATAGCTCCATATGTCTTTGTCAAGCAAAATTTTTTTCATGACATAAGCCTAATAATTATAATTTCCACCGGTTAATTTTACACTGATAGCCTACAGAGAATCGGAATTACCACTCGCCGTAACCAGATCATGATAAATCAAATCCAAGATCAAAGCTTGCAAACAAAATTATGCCTAGTAAAATAACAGCAAAGCAGGACACAATCAGCAGTGAAGTCAACCAATGAAAGTCTTCAAGCCAAAAGAAATAACACCAACAGTTCACAAAAGGAGAGAAGAAACAACAACTCAGACGATCAACACAGCCCTGCGAGGAGAGAAGAGGAACCAGCGAGCCAAGGAGAGAAGAGGAACCAGTGACAACGAAACTGGATCTCCTCACTGTGCAGCAAACCTGAAGCAGCGAACCAGAAGCAGCGAACAGATTTTCGCAGCAGAAGAGTTGGATTTTCGCAGAAGAACAGTCAGACTTTCGCCCCAAATTACTTCAAAATCCATCGAATCTCTTCCCCAATCACAAATAGGCTCAATTCGCACCATGTCCAAGGGATTTGAACCAAAAAATCAACATAATCCAACCCATATTTCAGATCTCAAAAATAGCCGAAAATTACCCCCAAAATATTCGAAAAATCAGAAACTCAACAATTGGAGTTGTACCACGATGTTACCTATGAAAAATCGGGCAAAGAGGTAGTTCCAGAGTGCTGATGTCATCTGTCAGAGAGATGACGTCAGCCCTAGCTCCAAATTTCAGCTCTAAATTTGATGAATACCACTGTTGTGCAATCCATGTGTAAGAGTGGAACATGCTCAAATACCTTGTAAATATTGATCAACTAAAGAAGAGAAAAGAGGGAAGAATATGTTAAAGCTGTATTAATCTGTCATAATCAATACCCTAAGATACATAGTAGATGCCCTTATATAGTAGGATAATATAAAACAAGGTACATGACTAAACTACCCATAATACTAATACTAAAATAATAAAATACTAAAATATTATAACATGGTGGGTGTATTGTAAATTTTTTTTGGGTACTTTTTAAAATTAGAATTTTTTTTACAAAAAGTAGCGGTTATTTAACAGTTTTTGTTTTTTTGGGGCCTTTTTCGTATCTGGGTTTGTTCCTTTTTCTTCCAAATTAGGTAGTATAAGTATTATAGTAATACACATATGCACAACTAAGTGTATAATAGTTTCTGTACTGAGATATACATAGATAGCTTTTGCAAAATTGTAATGAATCATTTTTTCACTTTATTGACAATTATTTTTTTACTTAAAAAACACTTTACCAAAAAACTGTCAATTAGAGGCGAAGCCTTTTCCCCTTTCTCCACTATTTTGCAATTTAGTTATTGAGACATTATCACTTTTCAGATTACCAAACGTTCCAACTCAAGCCCAAAAACCATTGCAGCTCCACTTCCTGAAGAACAATCCCTTTTTCTTCCATCTCAGAGCTCCAGAAATGGAGTTCCCAATCCATTGCGCACAGCCTACATCAACCTACAAAGAGAAGCTCACTTGTGGCTTCTCTTCTTGATACAACCAGGTGATTTCTTGCTGAACCTGACCCAGAAACCTTTCTGTTTAGTTGTCCCTTCTGTCATAATGAAAATTCCGAATTTTTCCATTTCCTATGCATGACTTGGAGAAAAGTAGGTTCTTCATTAGTGGACGCAACTTAAGTGGCCCAAAAATCTACCCTTAGTGGGTAAGCTTCTTTGTGGAGGAGAAACTGTTGCAAATGGAGTCCCTTAGTTCCAGGTAATATGAGATAACATTATCAATGCCTATGAAAATATTGCCATTCCATCAAAAGCAAGCTGATGGAGGAGAACATATAGTGTAGAAGGGACTCCTCTGGATGTGCCCCAAAATGCCATTTCATCTCACAATGCCAGATTGGTCAAACATTTGGCCCAAGTGATTTTACTGTAGAATTTGTATAGAAAATAATAAAAACTAGAGCAAAATCTAAGAAAAGCATAAGGCTGATGGGTATGAGAAAATCGGTTTATGGAGAAGATGTGAAAAGGTAGAAATTGAAGGGTTTGCAAGATTAAAAATTGTGTGGCCATTGATGTATGTTAATTTGCTGATGCTTGAAAAGAGCAGACGAAGAAGATGATCATTAGGCAAGAGTGAACAATAATGGGTGGCAGCTAGCTTGAACAAAAAAATCTGCTTGCTTGAAATGACTTAGTAGGTATGTCCCCGCCCATAGGTTTAACCAGGTGCAAATTTTGTCTTTGAGCAGGTGTCATTGAATCATTTCTACTTTTCTATTCATTCACTATCAAAAGGTGATTACCCCTTATTGCTTCTGCAAGCATAGGATGTTGAGAAGGTTCACTAAATGTAGAACTAGCCTTTGACATTATTTACACAAAGTGTTCTTAGACTCGAATCCAGTGTCGCATGCTTTGCCGTCCAAGCCTATATCTGGTTGATAAAATCTTATATGTGGTGATCTTATGCTCATGGCACGAGGAAATTGCCCTATATGGAGCGAATTGACAATAATGGTTATGTAAGTGGCCCTAAATAGTTGGGAGAGGATGTAGTTAAAATTTTAGAACACAGGGCCTGCTGAAGTCTCTGAGAAGGTAGTTGGTGTATAACCCCAATAATAGAACTGAATAATTCCAGGCTTTGGGAAATATGAGATAATTGGAAGTGCCTAGTTTCTGGTATTTCTTTGTTTATTATGTATGTTTATTTCTTAGATGACAGTGTTTAAGGATTATCTGCTATAAAATGCGCTGGTATGCAATGGTTTCGAAAGGTTTAAATGAATATTTTTGCATAGTCAGATTTAGGTGATTTGCCTTCATTACCTCATCCTGATTGATTGTGGTTGGTTAAAAAGGATCGGCTCCCAGTTTGGTCCTTGCTGACAAAAGTGCTAGGTGGGTGGATTAGATGTGAACATAATATTTGATATTGTTTGCAAGTGGCTGCTCTGGTGTTCGATTCACCTCATTTTCCTTAATAACTCTGCTCAAGGCGATTGGTTGTAGTTGATTATGCCTTAAAAAGTAGCAATATTTAATTATCTCCCAACTAAGACGCTGGAAAAGGAGAGAGAACTTTGAATTGTAGGTTTTGACGTGGTTTCTATTTGGAGTTCCTTTCCCACTAGTTTAGCAGAAGGAAAATGTCATTGAATTTGATATTTAATCAATAAACTTTCGAAAAAATGAGTATGTCCCTGTCAAACTTAAAGGGGATTCAGTTTTTAAAGTGATTGTGTTACATTGATGATTTCGCTAAGGACTCAACTGTGATATATTGAGGCAGAATTGGAGAACTTTGGACGCCAACAAATAAATTGCTTATTTCTTTGCCTTAATGACAATTGTCATCTGAATGTTTTGGTGACATCATTTTTTTTGGAGACAGGTTGGATATGCTTCAAGGCCCTTGCAGAAGAAACAAAGGCAGTGATTAATTTTTGGCTCCCCACTCCTTATAATTTGGATCTTATATTTCTGGGCCATGATCATAAGCAAATATCAAGTAGCATGTATGATGTTGTATTCAGTATTATTAATTTAAAAAAGAACAGAAAAATTCTCTCAAACTTCTACTGCCAGTGGGTTTTATATGTTATATACGCAGTACACAGGTATTCAGTTTTGGTAATAGACAATTGATTGTGATCGGAACCACTAGTCGAAAGTTGATTTTGTGAAATCACACAGATGATCTAGTTGTTCCTTACTTTGATATCCCCCCCCCCTCTGCTGCGGATTTTAATGAGGATATTTTTTTCAATTTTTTTATTAGGATAAATCATACCATAAATCCCTAGAAATTCAATTTGGTTCCTACTCTTTCAATTTTCTCCAATCTTGCATAATGAACTGATGTGATCCGTATGGGTAACAACCATTAAATATTGAACAAAGTGAGTTAGTCACATTGGTTCTGGAGTTACCCACCTTTAGGCATGATTTTAAATTAAGCATTGGGGGCTGCATAATGATTCTGTTTCTCATTTCCCTTTGCGGTAAGGATATTTTTGGTAAGGCTGAATTCATCCTCGTATAACAATGAACACCACTAAATACCAGATTAAAAAGACCCAATATTAGTATCATGTGCACTTCTGTAGGGGTATTTATGGCATTTTGCTGTCTGTCTGTGTCTCTCTCTCCACCCACATCCATTTGCATCACAACATCTTTTCCTTCTCCTACCCCCTCTATCTCCACTCACATCCACTATCCGTTGACATCACGACTTCCTCCTGTGTGTGTGTGTTCACACCCCACCTTCCAACTGAAGTCATCTCCACCATAAGCTTCGACCATGCCTACCATGTGATGGGCACTTGATTTTTTTGTCAAGTTTTTGATAGAAGCCATTAAATGCACTAAACTAAAACTTGTCTTAAGTTGGAAAATAAATGTAGAGTCGTTTGATTTTAGCGTGATCATCTATGAAGCTGGTCCCAATAAAAGGATGGGGGGGGGAGAGTTGGTTTTTTGTTTCTATACAAAACAAACACTTAATTCATTTGCGATCTAGACACTCAGCCCTCTACCCCTAGTTCATCGTCGAAGAAAAATCTCCAGCAATATCCAACCACCCCTTCCTAGCATCCTCGGGAAATCTCATTGCTTCTCCCAACCTCCTTGCACTACCTCCTTGCCACTCCTCTCCTTCACCAGGATCGAATCATCTTGACAAACTCCTTATACCCTTTACCAGGCTTTTTGCAGCAGCCTTCCACCACTCTCCACCCTTGCCTTTGCCTCTCCACCATTTGCTCTCTCTCTCTCTCCCCCCCTCCCCAATACTCACCACCACTTACTCCACTCTTCACTCTCTATCATTACCCCCTCTCTTTTTCTTTCTCTCACTCTATTGTCGCTCTACCTGGAGACCATTGCCAAAGGTTTTCACTCAATCAAGGTCTTCAACTAGGGTTGTTCTTTTTGAATTCGTGATAAATCAAGTGAGAGAGATTTTTATTTTTGGCATACGTTTAATTCAAAATCGTGCAACAAATGTATGCTTGAATATATCAATCATCTGTGAAATTTGCAATAACATGATTGTGTTGCTAGTGTATCAAACTGTTGTGAGATTTGCGATAGCTTGGAAATTTCTTTTAGTTTGATGGATATTTGTGTGAATCGGCACATCTTGATTATTGTTGATTAGCATTTTCGTGTTATTAGTCTATTGTAGTAGTCTGATAGGGTCCTTGGGTTGAGCATCTGCTTGAGGGTTTTCTAAATTGAATCCTAACTCGCTTGAGTTGCCACAATACTAGTTGTGATTTATTGTAATTATAAATTATTAAAATTGGCACGAATGCGTTCCACCATAATGACTTATTGGGGTGGGAAAATAGCTAGGGCTAGAGGAGTTATGCTACTTAGAACACCTCAATGTGGCATCAATGGCACAAGTTACACTTAATTATTGAATAGCATATATTGTGTCATTCGCGTTGACCCTATACCTCTGTTAAGTATGATTTTGATGAAAATAAACATTTTAATACGATATAATCATCAATTTTTTTTATATTTGTTGATGAGGAGGAGATTATGTGGATCTTCCCTCACGGTGAAACACGTGGATTGCAAGACATTGTTTAGAGGGGGAAAGGGTATATAAGTCATTAAAAATTATGTTTAGACAAACACTAATTTTAACCTAATTCGACCTCAATTACCTCTTTTAATAAAGATTTATCAATTACTAGTGAGAATCCATTTTCAATCACAACGACCCCTTAAACCCATGAAGATTATTGTATTGAATTTGTCAATTAAACCCTTAATACTCAATCTCTCATGGGGATCCCAACCCCATGACAACCAACCTAATCAAGCAACAATATATGATGCACATATTTAACCAATTACAATATCAAACACATAGTGGCAATGTGTGCATCAAATTGCATGTATGTATGCAAAAAACAATAAATACCACAGGTAATTTATTGACGCAGAAATCCTATTCGAAAAAAATGGAGGGAAATTAGTCTAGGGTTCACCAAAGCCTAATGTACTATCTCAAAGTCAGTTTATAAGTACTCGAGATTTATACCTTAACCAATATCATGGCTAAACGCTCATTCCCTTCAATAAATCTCTCCGTCAGAAACACCCAATAANTAGTCTAGGGTTCACCAAAGCCTAATGTACTATCTCAAAGTCAGTTTATAAGTACTTGAGATTTATACCTTAATCAATATCATGGCTAAACGCTCATTCCCTTCAATAAATCTCTCCGTCAGAAACACCCAATGATGGTATGGATAGTTTCACTAGAATTCTCCATCGCAATGAATCGTCTTGGCCTCAAGCAATCTTCTATGCTAAGGTTCTCGGTATGCACACTTGCCAATGAGTTTTATTTCAACCAACCAAGTTCTTCTCCAAGGTGCGAGATAGGNGGTTCTCGGTATGCACACTTGCCAATGAGTTTTATTTCAACCAACCAAGTTCTTCTTCTCCAAGGTGCGAGATATGATAGGAATCATAAGATGGTAGCCTTTGAATTTAGGGATCTAGGCTTGTGGCTGAAGCTCTCAAGGTGTTAGGTAGATGAAAATTTCCCTAGAATGCTTATAAGAGGCTTACCATAGGTAGGGTTTGTCTTGAAAACACAGATTCATGAACGACCGCTTGAGCATTGGGAGGATGGTGGTCATTGTAATGAAATTTGGATTCAAACTAGAAAGACAGAACATGGACCACTCAACCAAACTTAAGGATCACTTGAGCCGTCTTAAGATCGCTCAAGTGGCCAGAGAGTGACCCTGGGGGTAGTCTCCATTGCCTCGCGTATAGCCTTTTCTCGATTTATTACCTAAGTCTTTAGAGACTTCTCTAGTGAAATCTAACAAACATAGGGCAGTCCCTACTAATTTTTAAGCCTAAAACCAAGCAAAAAAGTAGTTCTCTTGAACACTAATGGGTGTTGCTCAAGAGCGGTTTTTACTAATGACTCAATCTATGTTTTTCAAAACACAAAGAGGTTTAGAAAAACTGTTCTTTGAAAAACACCCAGGAGCCTTACACGGATCAATCACCTATTCCATTATACACTAATCATCATAAGTCTAATTTAAGGGTTCTTAGGTCTATAAGGTAATGACATTTGTCCTAAGTAAGAAGGTGCATATGGAGAATACACTTGATGTAGCTTGAAGCATGATCTCTTTTCTTCCATTTGACGCTTTTGGATCTTTATCGTTATAACGTCATGACTATTCATGTTAAGATTTACATGGACTTCACAAAATTAGCCAATTACAAAACATGGTCTTATATTCTCCATCTTTGGTAATTTCATGACAAAATGCACTAGTAAGAAATTAATATTACTACTCGCAAATCATTGAACATAACGAATTGTAAACAAATCTCAACACCAGTGCATAAGTCTCTAAATGCAAGATCTATCTTTAGATGTAGTTTTGAAGATCATAGTGTGATGCCCCATAATTTGGGGGTCCTTCTCAACTCGTTAATCACCCATCAACCCTCGAAAATACCTGTGTATGTTGCATAACCCGATACCACATCATCACATGACCATTCCAAGGTCCAATATACATCAACTTGTCCTTATTATTTCACTAATTATATTTCTTTAAACAAGAAAGCTCAAAGCCCGAATGCTTGACAAAGTTATACTTAAATTTTGAAAATTTTGGAAGAGTACCGGTGTCTACTTCATGTGGTACCGGTACCTATGTGACGGGGTACCGGTACCTGAGCCCACTGTCCTTTGAGGTACCAGTACCTGAAGCCTTAGTACCGGTACTTGGGCCTTCCAACAGTGTAGCACCGGTACCTAAGCCTAGATTTTCTCCCAAATTCTGCCATTTTCAACTTCAACTCATCCAATCCCATACAACATTTACCCAAACTCATATAACAACTAATTTTATATAAAATATAGTCCATATGAGTTCATTACACCACTCTTTATGCAACATTACAAGTTCAAATCCAATTATATAATTGTTTTACAAAAGATGAAATTTAAAGCGACATATCAGCTTCTTCTCAACAAGGACCCATGTAAGGGCCGTCATATTGGAATGACCTCTTCGGATTAGCCACTTATCAACTCAATGGCCTCTTCGGATTATTGGCTAATCTAAAGAGGCCATTCCAATGGGAATGCCAAATCAACTCAATTCATTCAACCCATGGTGCCTAGGTGTTTGATTGATTCTTAGGAAGTAAGGGACTAATTTGGAGGTGTAGGCTCAAGCATACCCCGTGACAAATCTACAGTAAATCAAGAGCTAACAACCATCTTCGCACTCAGCCTAGTCAAACCAAACACTTTACGAGGAAGAATGAAGGAGAGTTGATTTAGTATACCCAAGAGGTAGTCTCCCTTGGATTAGCCAACTAAAAGCTTAGCTACTCATAATAGATGCAAGAACATACACAATGTAAAGAGACATGGTGAAGAACTAAAGCTTAGAACTTTTATTAATGCAAAAAGAAGTTAACCTATAAAAACAAGTTCATTTCATACCCAAAAGTAAAGTTTGGAAGGAAAAACCCAAATCTAGACATGGTAAATACAAGAATATGTAGCTAAACTTGAATACAATTGAAATGAAGAAGATTAAAGTGCAAGAAGTAAATATTATAAGTGATTTAAAGCTTACTACAACTGAAATGGAGAAGGAAATG